CAACTTCCACTTACTATCAGGTGAATTGTGTACCATTTATTTTATAAAAAAACGGTTCCGTAAAAACTTAATTATTTATGTAATTAGTTTATCTATGACAGGAATTCCAACTTCTCACAAGCTGTTCATACATATATTGTATTATTAATGTTTTATTGGAAAAGACAGACGCAAAGACAATCGGCCCTTTATCACCTTTTATTGTCGACACACGTGTCTCAGTTGATTTATCTTGCCAAATGTTACCTCCATATTTTCTTCATGTAGAGAACCTCATATATTTAACCTTTTCCGCGCTGCTGACTACTTTATAATAATTTCGATTTATGTGCCGCGGTAGCGCAGTGGCTTTCATAGTACGTGAGTTCCATAGTTCGGTCCAGACCAGCATCACTAAAAATTGTTATCTTAGTTTTACGTATGTGTCGATTCACCATGTTCTTGGCGGTGCAAGAAAAACTCTTACATTATCCACTTCTTGAGAATAATCTCGAAATTGACACTTCTTGGTGCAGTCACATAGTCATGAGTTACGGCACCGAGTGTCACGGGTTCGAATACCACACGAACTGTCTCCACGATACAAAAGAAAACCCCAGTATGGGGTTAACGTTTTTATTTAAAACCCATTTGGAAATAAGCTATCTACTCTCGCATTAAAGACATCCAGATTAAAATAAAACGGAAAGACAGTGACCGGTAAATTATTCACCTCTTTTGATAAACAAATAACAAAATACGAAGCGAGCCGTTTAGTTCGAACGCAAGAATTATCGAAAACAAGGAGGTGAAGACACTTCCTTGCTTTGGAATCAGATAAGCATACTAAAGGATTTAAAAAAGAAATCAAGCGTCAATATGTTATTTTTATTTCATGACCGTTTTAAAATGGGATTTCTCTATCTAAAGAAGAAATAATGAAAGAAACTACGCAAGGTATCTACTCTTTGTTAATCAAAATTAAAAAAGGAATAAATAAATAATAAAAAACCAACTGATAGCAAATTTATGTTACTGTGTTTCTTATGGTCAGTGTAGAGACCCGGAGACCCTTTTTACTGGACACGAGGCACTCCATCTTAGTCCTCAGGTCTGACAACGCATCTGCATTCCTTGTAGCTCAGCAGAACGTATTCCTTTTAGATTCATTACAGTAGGCGCTGGGGGCCACAGGTTCGATGTCCATATGGAATTAACATTTCTATAGCCTACTTATTAAAAGTTTCCTGTGTACATTGTCTGGTAATGTTGAATAAGTTTTTAAACGCCTCTACATAAAGTGAAAATTCTAATGTCCCCTACATTAAAAAAACATAAAAATGACTCTAGACCCGAAACGAATTAAAATCACAGAAATGTGCGAATACCACTTCGCTATAATCCGGTAATAAAGTGAACAGACCTCTCAACAAAAGCCTTTATCGTGTATTGTGTCGCAGTTACTATGACAGCAGTAAACTTGAACCGCGGCGTACTTGTAGCTGAGATTTAACTCGCAATACTTTGTTAAAATTTTCTTAAAGGAATTGCACTGAGGTGTGACTTTAATCTAAATTGAATTATCTCAATAACTTTAACTGTCAAACACATATACACTCCAACCGACATTAACAACGACTGGCCAAGGACCATTGTTCTAGTGGTTGTAAACGCGATTGCTGACCATGAGATTCTGGGTCCGAATCCCGGGTTAGGCCAAAACAAAATTAGTTGTTGAGTTTTTCTGTTCAGTAATTCTCAGTAGCAGGCCGGACTTAACCCTCATTACTCGGAAAGCACGTAAAGCCGTTGGTTGTGTGCCTGATCTCTCTCCGGGAGTGTCGGGTTACCGTACCATCGGACTATGAGAGTGAGGGAATACAGAGTGCTGTTGTGCTTGCGCTTACAGTTATACGCTGTAATCCTGTCCTGCGCAGATTGCTAGTATCCGTTGAAACATATCGCTGACTGGGATTCGGTTTGAAGGAGGATATACTTATCACTATCCTCTCCTCAACTATGTTCCAGAAATAGGGCATAAATATAATTTGTAACTAAACAGCTATAAAAATTTAGATGGCCCGCAAAATTCCACAGTTTTAAGACATCTCCCCTTAAAAGCAAAACAGAAAGAACATATTTATTTATTGCAGTAACTTGCAGAACATCTTTTTTTTTATACAACAAGGGTAACGAACGAGCACACAGTCCACCTAATGATAAGAGGATGCTGTTGCCCATATACATCTAAAATGCAGATGCGTTATCACTTTTGAGAACTAAGATGGAATGCCTCTTATCCAGTTAAAAGGGTCCCCGGCTCTCTGCACTCATCATACGAAACACAGCTGATATTTTACGCTGGTATTCTGTAGTTGGTCCTAATCCAGTCGAGCCGACCAGTTTATGACAACAAGGTCCCGGAAAGTGTACAGGCTCCCTCTATTACCGAGTTGAAATGTTTTGTTAAGTTGAAACTGTATAAAAAAAGGTTATTATAGTATAAATGAATACATCTTTGATAATACCAATAGGAATGAGGTGGTCGCTTTTTACAACCATTAATGAAAAATTTACTTTAAATAAAAGTCCCGCTAGGTTTCTTGCTGGTTCTTCCCAGGACAGAGGTTTTTTTCGAATCAGTGGTAAAATGTAAATAATGACTTTCAATAAGAGTTACTCATGTGATCTATATTGAATAAAAAAATATTCTATTCTATTCTATGATGCTACCATAATAAATCTGCAGCGTGACTGTACCACGTATAAAACTTCAGTCATTTATTTTATAAACAAAAAACATATTTAACCAAATGTGAAAAAATAAAGTAAATGTATTGCAGTAACAAAAAGCAAAGAAAGGATGTGCAATAAATGTCAGGCTTGACAGGTAAATCCACGATTGAAAAAAAAGGCCTGCTACTTATAAAATCCACTGCAGAATAGTATGTCAAATCAAATCAAATCAATTTGAATGTGATCGACAGGTTATAAGGTGGTTTACAAGCAAAAGATTTAATGGCGCTGCGATCCTCCATTTGGTATACAATATAAAAATATTAATTCGTTACCACATTTCATATAATATACTTAATTTTTATTTTGAACTGTTTCATATACTTGTAACGTAAAACTACTGTTTTTTTTATAAGACTATAGTGACAATCGCAGTTCATGGTCACTCGTAACCAACTTCAAACGAAAGCTACAGACTAATAAAATACAGACTTATAAAATAAATTGGATTTCCGTTTCTTCTGACATTAATTAGCAAAAAAACGAAAATAGCAATAAAAATAGAGTTTGATGTTAAAAAAGTAAAGAAATAAAACTTGTTCACGTTCCTGTGAATAAAATCACAAATTAATCTAAAGTTAGAGAACTGTTTGTTTACCAAATATATATCCAGAATCTTATTCCATATATAATAGGAGTGATAGATTTTGGGGAGCAACAATTTGGGAATAAAATTCCTCCGCCTTATATGTTTAAATGATGTCTGTAAAAATATCTAAGAATCTAAAAGGTATCTATATATATTACTCAATTATTTTGAATTTAATATTACGAACGCTCATAACATGTAAGTTTGTTTTTTAAACTGAAGTAACAAACAGATTTTTAGTCCTCGTCCGTAGTGCGTGAAGATAATTGCTCGTAAGCTCACCCTGGTGGACTGCCAAATATCGAGATGGCATGTAGAGTCCTATTGCAGTATACGATAGTGGAGTTAATCCCAACAATTCTCATGAGTACTCCCGGTGGTATATGTGACGGAATATCAGAGTTTTTTTTTTTAATATAAGATAGGGTGACAAACGAGCACACAGTCCACCTGATGGTAAGTGGTTGCTGTGATCTCCATAGACATTCACATATCAATAAAGGATCAAAATGTGGAAGCGTTATCACCCGTGAGGATTAAGATGGAATGCCTCTTTGCCAGTAAAAAGGGTCTCCGGTTCGCTACACTCTCCATACGAAACACAGCAGCAGTAAGCTGCTATTTTACGCTGGTATTCTGTGAGAGCGTGGTCCTTCCCCTGTCGAGCCGACCCATTCGTGCTACAACTATACTACTAATATAGCTGCAGCATGGCTCTACCACGTAAAAAGAGTTATTGAGTCAAGAGTTTAACTCAAGAGTCATGTAATAGCTCTTCGCTAGACGGATCGGAAAATATTTAGTCGAAAAAAAGTACCAAAGAACAGAATAGAATATTTTTTTTTATTCAATAAACATTATTACATAATACGTTTTGAAAGTGAACTTTTTTTATTTACCACTGGTTCGGAAAATACCTCCGTTTTGAGCGAAACCAGCAAGATACATAGCAGGATTATTTAAAATAACCCAAGTATTAAATTGAAATTGCAACTTATATAACAATTTCCAGCAATCCTGTATCTAATATTAAAATGCCTGACAGGAGGAACGTCAAAGGATTTGAGAAAGGTATCGTTTGAGTTTTGAAGAAAATATTTGATCGATTTAAATATCAAAGGCAGTCAGCTGACAGCTCGATGAGAAAAGCTATGTCTAGCTTTTTTGTTGATATCGTTTTAAAATCATTTAAATAAAACATATTTACTTTTGTCGCAGAAAAAGTGCTAAAAGCGTTTGTTTTTAACCAACATTAAAAAAAAGAGTTTCTATATTTGACGATATATTTTTATGAATATTCAATTATTTCTCGGAAAAGGTTGAAACGATTTAAATAAGCCTTTTTATTAAACTTTCTATACCCGCGCCAAATATTGTGACACTTATACCCGCGCACGGTCTCATAGACCGAAAGTTCGGAACCCAATTTCATTATATTTTTTCAAGAAAACGTATATAGAGATTATATCATTTATTTACTGACTAACAGTCTTTTATTACAGTCTCTGGAAAATAATAAGATTATCATATGAGCTAATAAAAATGTAACAAAAATATTTTTTCTTCTTATAATAAACTAAAACAAACTTTAATCTTAATTATAACAAGTAAATTAACAGTAAACTTATAACTATTCTCAGGCAGAAGTCTCACTATAGCAGTCAGAGCATACCATAAGCGCGTGTTCCATACAAAAATAAACTTTACATTTTACGCAGTTATAACGCGTCTTACGGTTCTTTTTTGACGTGCAAAATGCACAACGGCCGATTTTATTGTTATTAGATGTTGCTGCAGACTCAGGACCATCTAATTTACATATTTCATTGAGGCGTAACTTTAGAGTTTTTGGCAATAACGTGTTGGCCGCCCGTCTCCTGAGATGCGAATTTATGAGGTCATAGGATAAAGCTTCCAGAAAAGTTCTACGGTTGACTTTCTTATTGGGATTGTTTTGCAGGTATAAAACATACGAATTTATACCCGTTTCATTCATCAAACTGTAGAAAATTACCATGGGCCACCTGTTTATGTCTCGTGCAACGTTATAGGTTTCGCACATTTTGTCGACAGTATCAACTCTACCTTTTGTCGCATTATAGTCCATTATCAATTCAGGTTTACCGGTTTCGATTTCGATTTTAACATCATCATGCATGCTAGACACAAGTAAAACATTCTTGCCCTTTTTGGGCACATGAGATACAAGTGTACAATTGCCTCGGTGCCCAAATAAGCTGGATTTTTCTTCTCGGCCTCTTATCTCCGTAAACTGTTTGGGCAGTTCCCTTTTATTCTTGCGAAGTGTGCCGATCACGGTCAACTTCTTTGACTCAAGTTTATCTATCAAGGGAATACTGGTAAAGAAATTATCACATGTGATGTAACGGCCAGTATTATAGATACCTTCACTGAGTCGCAAAACCAAAGCCAATGACGAGTTATCAAGTCTATATACGCCTGCAGGCTGTTGTCCAACGTAAACTTCCATATTTTGGGTATAAAACATTTTGGCATCAGTCAGAGCGTAGATTTTTATACCGTATTTATTGGGCTTCGATGGAATATATTGCCTAAAGTTACAACGACCTCTAAATGCTTCTGGTTTTTCGTCAATTGTGACGAACTGAGACAAACTGTAATATTTTTTAAATTCATCTATAATTTTTTCAAAAAGCTCTCTGATGGGTGCTAGTTTATCAACAGAAGCACGTACAACACGTGTGTCTTTGTCGTCAAACCTAAGACACCGTAACAGTAAATAAAAACGGTTCCAGGCCATGGTCAATCGAAATATCTCTGGTGACGAGCCATCAGTCTTGAATAAATCTTTAGCATTCAGTCGACAATTTTTTCTAACGCCAGCAAAGAGTAAGAGACCTAAGAGTGTTTCAAGTTCTATCTCATTTGTTTCAGTACAGTGTCTTTCTCTTATGAATTGAGATGAAATTCGTTTTATTTGTTCGTTAGTGTACTTTGCCATCCGACCAATAACATCCTCCGTGAAAAATAACCTCCATATCTCACCGGGTCTTTCAAATACTTAGCTCCACCTTTAGCACCTGGAAGTTGAGTAACGATGTTCCTAGCACGTCTTCTTACTGGAATTGACGCAGGAGTTTTGTTCCACCTCGTATAACGGTCTTGTCCGATGTAATAATTTATATATGTTTGATGATCTTCCGACTCCACTTGAGAATTGCTCTCCTCTGCAGATTAACCCTCTTGCTCATGCTCAGAATTATCCTCTTGCTTGCTATTGTAGCTATCTTCTTGTATTTCAACAAAATCCTCTACCTCACTATCGTTTTCATCTTCATAGTTAGAATCAGAATTTTCTTCTTCCAACATCAATCTAATTTGATTTTCGTCCATCTTGACGCAAAATATAACCTAAAAATAATAAACAATGTTTATCCATAACATAATGATACAAAAACTATAAATAACAAGCGAATTTTATAAGAATAATAGAAGTTATTACTTACACAAAAGAAACACTCCGAAAAATTAAATCTAGACGTAAAATCGATAATACCTACGTGTGCTAAACCACCGAAGTTGTATGGGTTACCAAAAATACACAAGCCCAATGCTCCACTACGTCCTATAGTGAGCCAAATCGATTCACCAACTTACAGATTGGCTCAACACTTAGCGAATATACTCTCACCGCTCAAGGAACATACAAGAGCACACACAAAGGATTCCTACCATTTTGTCAGCGAGATTAAAGACCTACATCTGGCAGACAATGAAACTATGGTGAGTTTTGATGTGCAGTCTCTGTTCACATGCCTACCTGTTGAAGACTGCATCTCGATTGTTACTAGAAGGCTAGAGGAAAATAACATGCCCGTAGAATATGCAGTATTACTCAGACACTGCCTTACATCTGGCTACCTATTGTGGAAGGAGGAGTTCTACAAGCAAGTAGATGGTGTGGCGATGGGCTCACCTGTATCTCCCATTGTTGCCGATATATTCATGGAGGACTTTGAGGAGAAAGCCCTGCTTACTTCTCCCATAAAGCCAAGATTCTACAAGCGGTACGTAGACGACACTTTCACAATTTTACCTTTAGATAAAGTAACTGCATTTTTAGACCATCTTAACTCCTTAAATTCTAAAATTCAGTTCACAATGGAGTTAGAGGCAAACAATTCTTTAGCTTTTCTAGATGTGTTAGTAATTCGGAATCCTGATAACACCTTGAGCCACACTGTGTATAGAAAAAAGACCCATACAGATAGATATTTAAACGGTGATTCTCACCACCATCCTTCACAGTTAGCTACCGTGGGTAAATCTTTGTTTCAGAGAGCACGAGGGATCTGTGACAGTAAACACCTGGCCGCCGAGCTCCAACACGTCAAGCAAGTTTAGCACGACAATAAGCTTCGGGTCCCGCGCCTACGTCACAGTGAACGAGTGAAGCCGGCCACAGTCGAGCGAGTGCCTGCTGTACTGCCATATGTCAGAGGTGTCACTGACAAGATTGGCTACATCTTGAAGCGTGCTTCCATTAAAACATATTTCAAGCCGCCGAAGAAGATTAGTCAGTTTTTACCATCAGTCAAGTGTAATATTCCTCTGCAAGATGCAGGAGTGTACAAGCTGGATTGTGAATGTGGTCTCTCTTATATAGGACAAACTAAAAGATCCATAAAAACCCGCGTTAAAGAACACATAGCTGATGTGAAGAATAGACGCTCCGGGAAGTCTGCAGTCTGTGAACACGTACAGGATCGCCCCCGTCACTACATTAGATTTGATAGACCACAAATCCTCGCTAAAGAACACCGATTCCTTCCAAGGATGATTCGCGAGGCTATTGAAATCAAAAAACATCCTAATTTCAATAGAGAAGATGGCTGGGTGCTACCATCTGCTTGGGATCCCATACTTAATAAAATTAAATCCCAACCCAAGCATACAACTGCAAGACTTCATGATACTGTAAGTTAATACTGCGTAGATCGGAACAAAAATTAATAATTTTTAATCTGGAGGTAGCCGTGGTTAACTATGACATTGGGACGTCATACACCTCAGTCCCCCCCGTGACCATGGGTGCTGTAAAGTGCTTGAAACGTCGGGAAAGTAAAATAAGTTAATATACGCGATAAAATCCGTAAAATTAGTTTTATTTAAATGTGTAGTGTTCGCGTAAATATAAGAAATCATTATGTGAACCAGTACGGACTGGTAATTGCAAATAAAATTCGCCGATTAGAAGATCTCGTGACTAAGCGCGCAAGATATATAACAGCATTAAACTTTTTAAAACGCTGCCGTGATAATAATATCATCCCTACGTGTGTCAAAATATCCACTAAAAAGGACATTCGAGGAAGCGCTAAGATCTTAAATGAGGCAAGTAAAAAGTTGTTACGAACGGTAATCCAACAAAAACGCTCCGATCTACATACCATTAACAAATCCATAGACACATCATTCAGTGATATAAAGGCAGTTTTAACGACATTTGATTATAATGTTTGCATCGAAACGTTAAATAAACGAGAAATTAATAAATATAATGAATGCAAAAACAAACATATAATAAAATATCAAAAATTAACGACCAAATTAAATGTCAAACATCTGTGTCGATGTGAGAACGCAACGCAACCGTCGACTACGAACGCGGATCATAGATTAAACGCGGTCTATAATCTGTCAAAACAAACTCTGGATGATGCAACAATTAGAGTATTATCGAAAGGTCTTAATTTTGCTATAACACCGAAAAAATTACCGTACGAACAAATTATCTGTAGTGTCGAGGACTGTTTATTTAAAAATAATATGCAAAAGGAGGATTTGGAAGCGATACGTCAAGACATTTCGTCTATGTTACGTCGAAGTTCAGCGCCAAAACCGAATCTACCTAAAGACGAATTCAAAGCGTTGACTAACCTACGCAATAAACCAGAACTCACGATTCTCCGCGCAGATAAGGGAAATGCCACGGTAGTTATGGATACGTCAGATTATAATTCTAAAATACAAGAACTTTTGTCGGATGCAAGTACGTATAAAAAGGTTAAAAATGACCCAACAAATAACACACTTAAAACAACTAGTGATCTCATAAAGAAACACTCCGAAAAATTAAATCTAGACGTAAAATCGATAATACCTACGTGTGCTAAACCACCGAAGTTGTATGGGTTACCAAAAATACACAAGCCCAATGCTCCACTACGTCCTATAGTGAGCCAAATCGATTCACCAACTTACAGATTGGCTCAACACTTAGCGAATATACTCTCACCGCTCAAGGGACATACAAGAGCACACACAAAGGATTCCTACCATTTTGTCAGCGAGATTAAAGACCTACATCTGGCAGACAATGAAACTATGGTGAGTTTTGATGTGCAGTCTCTGTTCACATGCCTACCTGTTGAAGACTGCATCTCGATTGTTACTAGAAGGCTAGAGGAAAATAACATGCCCGTAGAATATGCAGTATTACTCAGACACTGCCTTACATCTGGCTACCTATTGTAGAAGGAGGAGTTCTACAAGCAAGTAGATGGTGTGGCGATGGGCTCACCTGTATCTCCCATTGTTGCCGATATATTCATGGAGGACTTTGAGGAGAAAGCCCTGCTTACTTCTCCCATAAAGCCAAGATTCTACAAGCGGTACGTAGACGACACTTTCACAATTTTACCTTTAGATAAAGTAACTGCATTTTTAGACCATCTTAACTCCTTAAATTCTAAAATTCAGTTCACAATGGAGTTAGAGGCAAACAATTCTTTAGCTTTTCTAGATGTGTTAGTAATTCGGAATCCTGATAACACCTTGAGCCACACTGTGTATAGAAAAAAGACCTATACAGATAGATATTTAAACGGTGATTCTCACCACCATCCTTCACAGTTAGCTACCGTGGGTAAATCTTTGTTTCAGAGAGCACGAGGGATCTGTGACAGTAAACACCTGGCCGCCGAGCTCCAACACGTCAAGCAAGTTTAGCACGACAATAAGCTTCGGGTCCCGCGCCTACGTCACAGTGAACGAGTGAAGCCGGCCACAGTCGAGCGAGTGCCTGCTGTACTGCCATATGTCAGAGGTGTCACTGACAAGATTGGCTACATCTTGAAGCGTGCTTCCATTAAAACATATTTCAAGCCGCCGAAGAAGATTAGTCAGTTTTTACCATCAGTCAAGTGTAATATTCCTCTGCAAGATGCAGGAGTGTACAAGCTGGATTGTGAATGTGGTCTCTCTTATATAGGACAAACTAAAAGATCCATAAAAACCCGCGTTAAAGAACACATAGCTGATGTGAAGAATAGACGCTCCGGGAAGTCTGCAGTCTGTGAACACGTACAGGATCGCCCCCGTCACTACATTAGATTTGATAGACCACAAATCCTCGCTAAAGAACACCGATTCCTTCCAAGGATGATTCGCGAGGCTATTGAAATCAAAAAACATCCTAATTTCAATAGAGAAGATGGCTGGGTGCTACCATCTGCTTGGGATCCCATACTTAATAAAATTAAATCCCAACCCAAGCATACAACTGCAAGACTTCATGATACTGTAAGTTAATACTGCGTAGATCGGAACAAAAATTAATAATTTTTAATCTGGAGGTAGCCGTGGTTAACTATGACATTGGGACGTCATACACCTCAGTCCCCCCCGTGACCATGGGTGCTGTAAAGTGCTTGAAACGTCGGGAAAGTAAAATAAGTTAATATACGCGATAAAATCCGTAAAATTAGTTTTATTTAAATGTGTAGTGTTCGCGTAAATATAAGAAATCATTATGTGAACCAGTACGGACTGGTAATTGCAAATAAAATTCGCCGATTAGAAGATCTCGTGACTAAGCGCGCAAGATATATAACAGCATTAAACTTTTTAAAACGCTGCCGTGATAATAATATCATCCCTACGTGTGTCAAAATATCCACTAAAAAGGACATTCGAGGAAGCGCTAAGATCTTAAATGAG